CTTGCGTTTGGTCTGATACCTTTTTTCTGAGGCCCTTTGGTCTGACGGCGTTTTGTCTGATGTTCAGTTTCACCAGATCTGAAACATGATGATGGTTTTCCAAAACTCTAAGTTGTGTAGCTTGAGGAATGATGCCGTTCTGACTCTGAGGTCTGAGGATGTCCTAAAATGTACCCCGTAGCCCCGCCTAGTGCTAATTAACATGTATTTGCATGTTGGTCAGTTTGAAAACGAAAAAGCAAAGTGGCAAATGAAAAGTAAATCTCCAGCAGGTGGCGCCGATGTTCATTTGCATTTGCCATTTTATTCTGACACTCTGACACACTGCAGCTGACTGCTGTGAAAAAGAAATAAAAACGTAAACATTGCATTTTGATGTTAGTTTTGACACGTATTCTGCACTTCATGGAGAAAAGGCAAATCCAAAGTGAAGCTTGGGTTTTTTTTCTCTATTAGCTTTTTTCATTTTAGATTTGACCATGAAAAACCAGAATAACAACTGAATTGAAATGACAAACAGCAGTTTTAAATTTATTTTTATTTTTGTCACTAATGACTCGTGCTCATGTGAAAAACGGAATTGCAAATGTAGGTATTTCATTTCATTTTCAATTTTGGCAGGATATTTGCACAGATGTTTGGATGTTTGGTAAATTGCATTTACATTTTATTGTTTTAATTTTAATTTCTTTTTTGGCTGGATTTGCCTCCCATACCTGTATGACCACTGTCACTCTGTAATGCAGCGTATCTCAGTAGATGAGGGTGAGATTTCTCCTCCTCTGCTGTGTCAGACATCTGTGAAAGGAACTTTATGGTCATGTAGATTATTGTGTGGATTCTGGTGAAGTATTTTCTGATATTACTCATAGTATAAAGAGTCTTTCTGAGAGTAGAAGTTAGAGGTCAGACAGGTCAGGTGGGAGGACAGCAAAGGTATGCAAAAGTTTGTGCGCCCCTGGTCAGATGACATTTTGTTGTTTTTCTAAGTTAATAAGTTAAACGTCCTCTACAGGGAACCAAATCAATGTGCAAATTAATTTGGTGTTTTCCTGCACATTTTAATGCACAAATTCTGTTTATTAACTCATTTTAACATTTTAAAAAATATAAAACATAAAAAACAAAATGTGCCATTCCCTTTTTTTTATTAATCTCCTGAAAGCAGGTTTGTGTACTTGGTCATAAATGGTCAAATATGAGTTCCTATGGACAGAGAATTGAGGGCAGAGAATCAACCAAGCAAATACAAGATCTACAGCAAAATATTTCACTATCCAGATATGCTGCTGAGATCAAAGCGCCTGGAGTCCTGATATTTTACCTCAGTGGTCAGTGATACACTGTCCACCCATTTCTAGACCCTCTGCATCAAACTAAAGGCTCTAAAAGTGTTTTGTTTTATTAAAATGACCATTTCATGATCATACTGTCCTGCGCAGGTGATTGCATAACTGAAATGAATAAATAAAATGCATAGAAAATGATTTTTTTTTGATAAAACATTCCAAACAAATAACACTGGTTGAGACTTTTCTGTTAATTGAAAAATGTCTTCAACTTAAACCGTGAATACGGTAACAAACATTACAGTAGAGATGTATGTAAAAAGGTAAAATGATAGTATGAACTTCAGATCACAGAAAAGTACAGCAGAGTTTTAATTCCTCCACAAGGGGGCAGATTTCCCAGTTCCCAGATCGCATCTCGGTCTTCTGCAAGTGCTTCACCATTTTAATACATTTTGTATTTAAAAACTGCTGTAACTGAGCTCTGTCTGTGAAAACATGATATAATAAAATTTGAGGAAGAAAGAATCAGCACCAACAGCAAAAAAGAAAATGCAATAAACACAGTATAAAATATTAACATATAAACAATATAAAAGAAAGAAAAGATCAATATCTGTAAAAAACTACTAACTGTTACAGGCAGTTCTGGAGTTTTTTACTATCCTGATTCAGGTTCTACAGGAAGTAAATGACACAATGTCACATTATTACTACTTCTATGAGACAGAGAGTAGTAACTTTGATCTCTAAGCCAGACAAACATTCAGATTAGTAAGAAAACCTTCAATTTATAACTGATAGATATGCTTCCTGCCTAAAGGAGGGTATGTCACAAGTAATTAGCGGGACACAGTCTGGCTTTATGAGAAAAAGATCAGTACATAATAACATTCGTCAACATCATTCAGACCTACAAATACAAATAGCTGTATTTCTTTACCATAATGCTTCGAAATCAGAAGAGGTTTAAAACAAGGCTGCCCAATTTTGCAGTCTCTGTTTCTCTTGGTGGCAGAAATATTAGCTAATTTTATTAAGAATTCAAACAATTTTTAAAGGATATTACAGAAGTGGGCAAAGTTATAGATGACATCAGTATGTGGTCTGGAGCTTCTGGCTTACATCTCAATATAAACATGAATTCAGGGTATTTCCATTAAATGTACGGTTAAACATGCAGGTATTCATATAACAAAGGATAGTAGATTAAGTGAGGAGATTAATATATGGAATTAATTGGATGAATGTGGATCTATACTTGATGTTTGGTTTCAAAGGGGTCTTTCAACATTTGGGAGAATTTATCCAACAAAAATGGAAAACCTGGCAAGATGCATTTATCCTGTTTACTCCTTGCCTTTCACTGCAGCTTCCATTAAATCTGTCAATCAGTTCAACTTTAATTTTATTTGGGGGAAAAAAGGTTCATTATATTAGAAAAGCTGAATTAGTCACGGATTACAAATATGAGGGTTTGTGAGATGTTGATTTTCAAACTATGGACAAACACTTGAAATGAAATGGATAAAATGAATAATATCAGAGCATTTAGTTCTGTGTGATGTGGAAGATTAAAAAAATGGTGGTGTTGATGTGATTTTGCACTGTGATGACTCTGTTTCCCAAACTGCCTATAGAACCATCCTCCTTTCATCAGCAGGTGTTATTATATGGAAACTGATTAATTTCCATAATTTTAGTCCTCATACAACTACAATTTATAACAGATACATTCTGTATAGAAATAAGTCACTTTATATAAAAGAATGGATGGACGCTGGGGTGTGGTCAGCTCCACACTGTTGATAGGAATGCTGATGTTTATGCTGTTGAGTTTATAGTCTCAGCCATGTTGGCTGTCGTCTCAGCCGGGCCGGAGGGGGGCGTGACAATGAAAAGTTTAGCTGTATCCTCTTCTTTACATTCACGATCCCTTTTAGAAAATGGAAATGAAATACTGAAAGGTTACTTTTCAAATAAGTCATTTAGATTAATGTTTAATGGTGTCTTATATCCCGTATCATGTATCAGAAATTCTATGTAAAATTAGAAAGTGACAGACAGACTACATTAGTTTACAATTCCCCCAAAAGTCAAATAAATATTTGTACAGCACTTTGGGTTAAAATGTGCTTTATAAATAAATACTTAACTACTTACATTAAATTCATTTTAAAGTTTTAAACAGTGTTTACCCTTCAAGTAAATTTTTAAGAAAGAGGTTTAATTTTGAGGTTAACAGCTGTATATTTTATGAAAAATAAACGTCTGACCATTTGTTCTATAACGTGAATGTAATAGATGAGGCTACATATTTAAAATTTTCTGTTTAATATTAATAAAAAGAGTAAGTTTTTACACATGTACTCTAGTTAATGTTAACATGAATTATCCCTTTATGCTTGATCCAACTGACCTTGAATTGAACTTGAATTCCTCACCACTGTAAGGATAACTTAGACAATTTGCATGGTTTTCCATGTAATTACTGAATAAGGGAAATATGGAAATATCCTGAATCCATGCCCAGCCTCATTACTTCTTTAAGGGGTGTTTTCCTCTTTAAAAATCCCGAACCCATGCCCAGTCTACTTATTTTACCTAAAAAATGTTGTTTTTAAGGACACTTTAAGGTGTAAAATTAAAGGGCTGTGTTTTGTGGAGCCACTTGTGGTACAATTTCAATAAGCATATATAATCATATTAAAGTTATTTAAAGTTGAGTTTTATTAATTGTAATTAATAAGCTACATTCTGTGATCATGCAGACCTGCACAGGTTCTGATTGCAACTGAAATCCAGTTATCAGCATCAACAGAGAAACTGAATTCATTTTTATAATAAAAAAATATGCCCCACCAACACAGTCATGATTTACTCCTAATGGTATTACATCATAATCATTTCTCCACTTTAATTCATTGCACAGAAACATTTTAGAGGAAATTTATTGGATTTTTTGCAACTAGAGTAAATATGAAAGAAAATACAAAGTCATGTTGAAAATGTACATCTTTTTCAGTTTATAGTAAAAAAGAAAAAAAAACTCTAAGAACAACATGAAACTGTGTAAAATGATCTGATTTCTATGAAAGATGAAATAGTTAAAATAGTGACTCCATGAACTTTAGACCACAGAAAAGTACTGCAAAGATTGAACATCACCACCAGGGGGCAGACTAACTCCTTGTGTCTCTCAGTCATCTGAAGTAACATGATTTACAAAGTTACGAATACAATATAACGTTTTGTGCAACAGTAATGATGTGCTGGATTTGACATTCAATAGGTTTAACTGCAATAGAGGATCACATGATCATAACTGACCTACTGTCCACTGATGGATCTCAGACTTCCCAAATGTTAATACAATCATGCGACCCTCCTCTTTGATTGAGTTCATAATGAGAATACAATTAAAGACACAGTGAATGTGTGTTTAGACTCTTAACATAGTAAAGCTAAGATACATAATCTGAGTGGACAGTGAAGCACTTTTGTAAGTCATTCTGGATCTGCTAAATGCTGTAAATGTAAATCAGTGACCACAGCTCTCCTCCTGAAGATCTACTTTCCTGCAGAGTTTAGTTATAACCTACATCTGATGCCGCACCCATTACCCAACACTACTGCATCTGATCCAGCCAATCAAGGACTTGTGAAGAAGTTCATTAGTGGGAGCAGGTGTGACAGACTGTGATTAAACTACAGTCCACAGGAAGGTCGACCTCCAGGATCAGGGTTGGTATCATTTTATAAGTAAGTATCAATTTACCACTAAAAATCATTTCTCACAGATCCACCGTTCTTTGTAAGAGCATGGCATGTCATTCCAGCCCTTCTTAATTGGCAAATTCACAATCTCAGCACAGTCCTCATTTTTCTGATCATCATTTGGTTCTCCTTTATCCCAGAACCTGAAAGCCAAAGAATCAGAATCAGTTTCTGATCAGTGTTCATTTAACGTTCAGCTCAAATCTCTCAGCCTCAGTTACCTTCATAATCAGTTACCAACAGAAAACAGTATTGCTAGCATGCCTTTATCCATCGGCTAAAAGGTACAGTTGGTACTTGGGAAGGTGGGATTAATCACTCCATCAGTTAGTAGTTCACCAGGAACCTTGTTAGACTCAGCTATTGAGCGACAAATGTTGAATTGATCAGTGATTTATGAGTTAAAAGGTGTTACTTAAGTGCAGCACTGTTCCTTCGTCTCTGCTTGTTTCCTGAATAGTTAGCTATTAACTATGAAACTGTATATTGTGCTGCCTATTATGTAGCAAAACCCCTACAAATTACAACACTGAGAACTATGAAGTGTGCATTTTGTGAGGAGATGAGATAAATGGAGCTTAAAATGTAGCTATTCACAGTTATTCTTACCCAGTGGTCAGTGCTGAGCCATCAACCCATTTCCATTCGCCCTCTCTTTCACTGTCAGTCAGGCCAATCCAAGCTCGACTGCTGCCCAGATTTTTGAGGATGAACTCCTGCCATTGAGATAAGAATGAGCTGAAGATCAGTGGGTTACGTTCCCTTTTCTACTCTCTCTCTCTCTCTCTCTCTCACCTGTTCTTCTTTGGTATTTATGATCACCAGGTCTGCTCCTCTCACTCTGCAGTCCTGCCTGCTCTCACTCCAGCTCTTCTCTCCAGTAGAGATGAAGTACAGACTGGTGCTGAAAAACGTCCAGTCCTCCTGCACTGCCTTCTCTATAAATTAAACACAGAACACATATGTACACACACTCACACACTTGGAGCAAAGTATTGATAATCATTCCATATTAGTAAAGTTCACTGCCTCTGAGTGGCTTATAAGAAAATACAATATTTATAAACAATATTTATAAATTCTGTAAGTTTGGTAATATTCTGGCCCAAAGTGTGCTTGGATCAGATCTGATTGGCTAAAGTTAACTGCTTTAATCAATAGATATCTGGTGTCACTTCCACACTTTGGTCAAGAAACAAATAGATTTTGCAGGAGGATCGTCAATTATAGTATTGGACTTGAAGTAAAATATAGCCAACCCTAGGGGAACCAAACTTAATGTGCAATATTAGCAGGAAACTAACTTTCAATGTAGACTTTGGAGGTCTGATCCTGTTTTTCTAATGTTGTCTTATTGCAGTAATGATTTGGGATTTTCCACACATTACACATTGTGATCCTTGTCTGTGTTTCTTGGTTTTTGAGTTTTGAGTAACATAGTTATTACTATATTATTGTCAAGCTAACTGTAGTGTGTTTTCACTGTCCTACACTTTACCTTATACTCTGATAAATATTTAAGACAAAATATTGATAAATAAATATTACTCAGAATATTGACGATCAGCAGTTTATCTGTAAAAATATTACCAATAATTTTGGTAATATTTTACCAAAAATGGTAATAATTGACTTTTAGACTGAAACATTGCTAGAGATTATAAGAATGTGTGCCCCCCTGACCATAAGGCAAATCCTTAAATGGTTGCACCACCAGAGAGCGCATTAAAGCTGGCAGTACACTTAAAAGGAAAAAAAGACATTATGAAGCAAAATGATGTGTTTTTGGCCACAATAAAGGTTTAAGTTTGTACTGGTCCTTGCAAAATGATGAATTAGCATAGTTTCATTCTCACACTGCTAGAAATTGCATTGTATCTTTATTTAAAAAAGAAAGTTTTTATGATGTTCAGGCTTTTAAGACGCTGTAAATGAAACTGTAAGGAGTGTTTTAATGTATTTTAACTAATTCATAGTCTTTAACTAATCCGGTGTCAGCTTACCTAAAGAAGAGAGTTTCTTCTGAAGGACATCCATTTTATTTTTTACATCGATGTAGCTTGACTTCAACTGATTTTTGTCTTCAAACAGGTTGTTATACCTGGTCTGTAAATGGTCTCTCTCTATGGTCAGGTTGGTGTAACAGGTCTGTAACTGGTCTCTCTCTATATTCATGTTGGTGTAACTGGTCTGTAAATGGTCTCTCTCTGCAGTGAACTGGATCCACAGCACTGTGATGGCAGTCAGCAGGAGAACACACAGCAGCCCCAGACACACTGCAGTCAGCCTGTAGCATCTTCTGTCTGCAGTGCTCAGTCCTGAAAACAGATACAAGCATGTTTCAGTGAGTGCATTAATTGTTTAGATGTAAACAAAAAGGATAAAGCTTGTGAATTAGTAGAGTTTGTCCTTGTGTGATAGAGTGAAAGGGCTTATGCTGCAGTGCTGCTGTTGAGTTAGTCAGTTGAGATGTTAAACCATTTACTAAAGACATTTTCAACTGATACACCAACATGACATGAAATGTCAGTGTTGAGTAGTTTTGATTCTGGAATTGTTTTTACATCCAGCATGTTAATAAAACTCAAAGACTGGTGTTAGCATGTAATTTACTGCAATGTGTTTAAAATGTCTTTTATATATATATAAATATATGCCCATATATTTTTTCCATGTGGGTGAATTAAAGAAGCAGATGTCAGATATCAAACATTTCTTTGCTGATCAACTGCATTTTGGGTAAGTGATTAATCATGTTACACCCCTCACCCCTGGTAAAATCACAGGAACGCACATCTCAAATGCTTCAATGCTTTTATAAAACAGCAACCAAAAAATATAATACACAGTGTGGTAAAATGTGATAAAATACAATCAATAAGAACAATTCAGCTCAAATATGACTCCATAAATAACGCAGCTTCAAACATTGCTCAGGCATGTTATATAATGAACTTGAACCATATTACCCATAATTCAACATTACCCAGGAGCTGTCTAAGTTGTGTAGGAGTTGCAGTGTTCATTCATCAGTGTTACAGATACAGATGTTCTGTTACGGAGGCACAGAAGGTTTGCTTAAAGTTTGCTTATATTGTTAATACAAAAGCTCTGAGGTCATTTGCATCCAGCTCCAAACTGTTAGAGAAAACTGCTTATATTTGGCATAATGGTTAATCAGGAACCATGGCTTGTGTGAAAGCTGTGTCTCTTCAAGAAGTAAAAGTTTCACCCGAACAGGAGATATTTTGGCCCAGGGGTGCACAACTCCGGTTCAGCACAGTTTGGAGGTTTCCCTATTCAAACACACCCATTGAACCTGCCAATTAACAGATGAGTGTAATCAGGTGTGGCTGAGCAGGTAAAAAAGCCAAACTGTGCTGGACACCGGCCCTCCAGGACCAGAGTTGTGTACCCCTGTTTTGGCCATTCGACCACGAGAAGCTAAACTAAGCCAAATAGCTCAGAGAGAAGCACTCTGTTTGTGTGACATAGAAGAGGATGACAGAATGCATCTTCAGAAGCACGCCTGCTGTCAAGGAAGGGTTGGACTGGCTGGATCTGATTGCAGTGCATTAGTTGGGGAGCTCCGGTTATGCTCCCTTGCCACCTTCTGTGTATAGCAAGTTAGCCCAAGACAAGTTCATCATGGCACTGTCTTCAACTGAGTTACGCATCCACACACAGCTGGCCTGCCCATGTGACTTACAAGATGCCCTGGAGAAGAGGCTGGAGAGAGAAATGGTGTGGTCAACAACTTCACAGAGCATGGATATAACCAATCCTGTGGTCAGAGCTGTGGAGGAGACATGTGTCACCAGTGCTGGCATGAGTGCAGGAGATGACGGAAATGATCAGTAGGCTGGCCATACTTGCTGCCACAGAGCTAGTGGCATGGGTGCATTCTCGGTCTGGACTTTTTGAGAAACCATGGGTGCCAATTAGACTTAGGGAGTGCCACTTTGAGCTTCAAATGTGGCCTTGTAGTGATAAAGAAGCAACCAGTGCAATGACCTAGAGCTGGTCCAAGTAAGGGGCAGCAAGAGGGCTCAGAGGTGGCAAAGGGAGGCGAGGCTGATGGAGGATGAGAAGACGCTGTGAAGAACTAGTCCGGTGGCGTATCTCCCTCACATGCAGCTTAGTCAAAGAAAGTGCCATCCCACAGTGGTTGATTGGGCAATTAGGCATTAAACTTATGTCTTTCACGGCGTACTCGCCCGATGCCGTTACCAGTTCTCAACCTGATTCGGCAAATGTGCCAGCCAGTAAAGTGCTCACCCCTTCACCCATAAGAACTTTCCAGAACTTCCCTCCCCTGAGCGCCCTGTGAGTCTGGCAGCCCATGCACCACTGAATCAGGCTGCATCTGACAGAGAGAAGCCCAGAGGGAAATCTGGCAAAAGCTTACCAATGAGATGGATAAACAGCAAGCAGGAAATGCTGTCACAGATCTTAGTGGAGTTTCAGGACTGCTTTGCATTTGATGAAGAGGAGCTGGGACAGACTCACCTAGTACAGCATGACATCGACACAGCGGATGTGACACTAATGTTGCAGCAGCCACAACACCTTCCCCTGGTTCCAAGGAGGCTATAGACCAGGCTATAGACCAGCCTTCAGAGAGACACCAGTCATCATGGTCCCAAAGAAGGGAGGTGAGTGGCACGTCTGTGTAGATTATACGAGGCTCAGTGAGGTCACAGAGAAAGACTTATACCCCATTCCATGGCTATGGTGGATGAATGTTTGGATCTAGCGGCTGAATGCTCCTGGTTTTCATCTTAAGACTTAAGGAATGGGTACCAACATGTAATGTCCCCAGTATACAATATTCTGCACAGATAGAAGGCTATGCCATTTCAAGGTTCTTGCTTTCAGATTTTGTGATGCCCCAGCAGTGTTTGAATGCTTAATGATGAGGGTATTCAGCTACAAATGTGACTAGTCTTCTTAGACAACATACAGGTGCAAGAAAGTTCATTGCTCAAAAAAGTTCAAGTTCATCACTGACGTTCCTTTCCATGCATGGCTCTGCAGCGTCCGGTCATTTTGGAGTCACAAAAACACTTCACCAACTCTGATAGAGTTTCTACTGGGGATGGCTGAGGCATGACAGAGGACTTCTGAAGGTGGTGCAACCTGTGTAGGTATACAAAGGGCATCAGGGGCAGTCCTGGGTCCACATGCAGCATTTTGGGTGAGTGACCTCAACACCGGGTGAACCCCTGCAGCAGGTGGGAGTTGACATAGTAGGGCCGTTTCCATACACCACTTGTGAAAACACTTTTGTGCTGACCGCCGTTTCACCAGATGTCCAGAGGCCTATCAGGAGGCTGAGACTGTCATTAATGCCTTAATTGAGGAGATGTTCAGAAGGTTTAAGGTTCAGTAGTCCATTCATAATGACTTGGGGTGGAACTTTGAATCCAGAGTGATCTCTACCATGTGCAAGCAGTTCGGGAACCTGAAAACACGCACCACCTTGTTCCTCCCTCAGAGTGATTGGTTGATGGAGAGGTTTAACCGCACCTTAGTCAAGCAACTAGCTACCCTAACATCCACACACCAACATGACTAGGACAAGCTTGTGCACCTGGTCCTCATTGCGTGCCACTCTGCAGCCCAAAATTCAACTTTGTGTACTTTAGCCCAACTAATGCTGGGAAGCAAATTCAGGACCCCCACTGAAAAGGCATTTTTTCCCCCTCAGACAGCCCATCAAAACTGGCAGGACCAGAGTAGCCCCATTGGCTCCAAGACGCTGTGGACTTGAAACAAAAAAGGATCTATGACCTGCCTGTCTGGGGACTTCCTAGTAGTGGAACTTGTATGGGTCTACAGCCAGAAAAGAAAGAAGGACCAGTATCCTAAATAGGACAGCCACTGGGTGGGGTCATGTTAGATCTTGAAAAAAAAATCATTCCATTTGGTTAATGATTAAAGCTGGTTTATGTTACATTGTACTGTGGGCCAATAGCATTATTTTGCACTTTAATACACAAGCAAGTGAAAACCCCCAATAAAGACTTACCTCTGTTCTGAGGATCTGCTGTATGTGAGTGAGAGGTTTTGTCCACTTCCTCAGCATTGTTAATGTATATATTCTCTGTAGTTACTGTACTGGAGTTCCTTTTGTTGCTCCTGGTCTGATGAGTTTTTGTGTCATCCTCACAAATGTCTTCATATGAATGTTCACTGCTATCTGAATTTCTTTTGTTGTCTGCAGTAATTCCTGAATTTGCATATATATCCTCCCTCATTTCCATTCTGCTCTGACTGATGTTAACGTTAATAACTCTGATAGCTCTAAAAGGGACTCTGTATATCAGGTTAATGCTACTGCTGACAGCAAGTCACACCAGAGAATCCGTGCTCAACTGTGATAGTAATCAGTCTTCTCTAAACTAAGAATGCTGTGTTAGATAGTGACGCTGGCCACAGATGTGAGACTCTAATGACGTTTGAGATGCATGAGTCACATGGTATGTGTGGAGAAGTTTCTTGAAGCAGAATTTTTTCTTTAGTTTGTCAGCTTAATTCAACCTCTTGGTTGGTCTTCACTTATAAAGATATTCTTATGCAGATGTTCAGAGCTGGGTTTGCAGGTCTGTGCATGGTGGATTCAGTTCAAAAACAAACAATAACATTTGCTTTTTGCTTTGTCCTGCCTGGTAAGTTATACAGCAATGTCTGTATGAAAACAACATCCTTAAGAATGGGGAGAGCTCCATAAACCCAAAACTAAAAGCCACATTAATGTTTTAAAATCATGTTTAAATCAAACAGAAACAGCATAAACAGTTTGTAGTGTTTGGCTCAAATAACTCATAAAAACGTTGTTCCAGCCGTGCACATATCCCTGCAACGAGGAGCTTTTCAATTACAGTTGCTTGTAAACACTATTCCAAAATTGTAACACTGAACATGTGGGTAATGTTCAGTGGGTAAACTGGGTATCAATTTGCTAAATCACAAATACGATATTGGACAAAATCAAAGCCAACATAGTTATAATGGTTATAGAGACAAACTGCTATTTGAATGTATGTAAATAGGCTAATCACGACTGATTCCCATCTGAGATGAAATCCTGCCCATGTGTTGAACATCTATAAAAAGGGGGTCAGTTCTAGAATTATTTTGTTCATAATAAATGGTCCGTTATGGGCCCAGCATGTAATAAGCAACTGCTTATTCGTACATATATAAGTAAGTGAGAACATTAGGTGTGATGTGGATGAGAACAAATGGCCAAATGATTAAGATCTTTTCTCTTTGCTAGATAACGTAAAGATGTACCATTCTATTCTGTAATTTTTTCATTCACTCTAAATAATGATTTGCAATTCAAGCTTAAAAATATTATTTATTGTGTTAATAAGCAATTTACCAGATTTTAGTTTAGACTATTAAAATCATCATTTACATCAATTCAAAATTCAAAACACTTTAAATCAACTTCGGCCCTTTTCCACTTTTTTGCAGTGTTTAAACTAGCAGCCAAAGAACAATGAACTAATTACAATATGAAACAAAAGTTAAAATTAATATTTACTTTAAGGCCAACAGTAATTAGAGTTTCTGAGGCGACTGTGATGTGAGTGATGAAGTATTTCTGTTGTAGTGTTGATGTTTTGATGGAATGGATGTATTCTGAGATGTTTCTGCTGTGTTTTGGTAGCTGTAGAGCATTTTAGGTATAAAATGAAGTGTTGTGCTGAGCTGCATGTCTGCAAAAAGGAGCGTAAAGAGTGAACTTGGCACTGAAAAATGCTTCTTTGCAATTGCATAAAAAAGAATAAATAAAGCTGCTCAATGGTGTCTGCTGGTAGATGATTTGGTGAGACACCACACACAGACTGTTAGTAATGCTAGATTTCTGGGACCATATGTTGTACTCCAGTCCTGGTGGGCCGCAGCACTGCAGAGTTTGACATTCTACCTCATTAAATACCTGATTCAGCTCATCAGTGAATTAGCAAGACCTTTTGGGTTGATTTAAGCATCAGAAGAGGGAAATGTCTTCAGAGTCACGGCCCACCAGGAGCTGAGATTAACACCTCTGTCTTAGAAGGTTTTGAGATGCTGAGCGACTGTGTACTCATGATCACACTAATGTATTTTGTAGTTTGTTAGAACTCTGAAAACTGATAATGATAAAATATATTTTGATGTAAAGTTTATTGTGTCTAAATACTGTTTTTTATTGTGACAGTTGCACATGATTTTATGTCGACACAGCTGTCTGTGTGGAGAGGTGTAAACTCTTTTCCCAGCAGTTTGTCTCACACCCCTCACGCTTACTAGCCACAAAATTTTACACTCAGAGTGTCCTTGTTCCTGTTAACTGCTTGTTACTTACACACACGCACATACACACACACACACACACACACACACACACACACATGTAGCATTAATAGCAATAGCATTAAATAACATTTTTTTGACATCTTTTCTTTCTGGTTTCATGTCATTACTGAAACACAGAGTGTTTCTCAATATCAAGAACATTAAGAACAGACTTGTGATCTAGGTAAGAATGTTCTTGACAAGTTACCACGTGATAATGAACTCACAAGAACACAAGGATGGAGACTGTACATACAGGAGTGTGAGATGTGCTGTGTTCTTGCTATTGCGCAACTCCAGCTGATTTCACCAGCGTTAAGTTACAATTTAGTAGCCTATCAGTTCAGATTATTACCCACAGAATAAAAATAAAACACTTTTGTACAGTAAAAATGCCAAAACAGAATCTAAAATGTGTGGTTTGTGCTGTTTTGCCTTGCTGGAATAAAGCCAGAGTTCCTCACCTACAGCTGTGACAGCAGCAGTGATGTTGCTGGATAAACTTTGATTAAAAGCCTTGATTTCTATTAAATTGATATAGCTGTAGGGTAAGGGACCATCTGAGTAAAAGTACCAGAAATGTAGAGGGAAAAGGTGCTACAGCTGTCATTACTGAGCTGAGGAGCTGATCCAGAAGAGAGCCAGACTGAGGAGAAAAAGATGAAGAGACCTGCTATAGTGCCACCTACACAGGATCAGGCATAACATTATGATCACCTCCTTGTTTCTACGTTCATTGTCCATTTTATCAGTGGTGGATCATCCTCAGCAATGCAGTAACACTGACATAGTGGTGGTGTGTTAGTGTGTGTTGCGCTGGTCTGAGTGGATCAGACACAGCAGTGCTGCTGGAGTTTTTAAACACCTCAGTGTCACTGCTGGGCTGAGAATAGTCCACCAACCAAAAATATCCAGCCAACAGCGTCCTGTGACCACTGATGAAGGACTAGAGGATGACCAATACAAACTGTGCAGCAGCAGATGAGCTACTGTCTCTGACTTTACATCTACGAGGTGGACTGACAAGGTAGGAGTGTCTAATAGAGTGGACAGTGAGTGGACAGTGTTTAAAAACTTCAGCAACACTGCTGTGTCTGATCCACTCGTACCAGCACAACACATACTAACACACCACCACCACGCCAGTGTTACTGCAGCGCTGAGAATGATCCACCACCCAAATAGTACCTGCTAAGTGAGGGTCCATGGGGGTTCTGACCACTGAAGAACAGGGTAAAAGGGGGCTAACAAAGTATGCAGAGAAACAGATGAACTACAGTCTGTAATTGTAGTTGAACTACAAAGTGCACCTATGTAGTAAGTGGAGCTGATAAAATGGACAATGAGCGTAGAAACAAGGAGGTGGTCATAATGTTAGGCCTGATCTGTGTATATTCGGCAGAGGCTCTTTGCTGTGATAAAGACAAAATAATGCATAAACGCAGCTGTTTCATTCTTTCCCTTTAACTCGATTTTAAGATGTTAAAAATATTATAAAGGGCTCACAGAGTAAAATCACAAAGAATAATAAATCATCACAATTACTATGTGCAGAAAAATGTTAACTAAATAAGCGTAAAGCATTTTATATTCTTTACGTAATAAACTCTTCTCAGCATTTCTCCAAACTCGACCTCCAAGTGTCCATCTTTAGTATGTATATCCAAAAAGTTCATCATCAGTTTGGCCAGGATCCGGCCCCGAAAAAATGAATAAATAACAGACGGAGTATAAAATGATTTCACTTTGATAGTTGGTGTGAAGTGTTGTAAAACTATTAAGAGCAAAAAAAAAACTTTTGAACTTGGCCACTGCTGACTTGTCACGCATTCCTCTGGATCTGACTCTCCAGAGAACTCCAACTCCCTGAACTTTCTTGGAGATCACGTGACTGCTGCTCCACCATCCACAGCCAATCGACATTCTCCTTCACCCGAATACTAATCTGTCACACCTGTTCTGTTTTGCCCCTTGATTTAGCTTTTAGGGCTTTTAGGTCAGAATTTTGTGAGCTACTGAGCTTTCTCTGTTGTTTTTGCCTTTTGTGTATTTGGACTGTGATTTTTGGACTTTTGACTTTGACCTTTGCCTTCGCCCTTTGAATCTTGTTTGCCTGTTTCTGTGATGTTTGTCTTTTTGCCTTTGTGGATTGTTTTGGATTTGACCTGTATCTGTTTTCTGACAATGAGCTTGGATCACATTTCAAACAGTAAAGACTATTTTTCTAACTACGTCCGTGAACATCAAATCAGTGTCGCGTTACATAACTTCATTAAAGCTACCACAGCTGGGTAACATTACTGTTATTTTAAAAGGAGCCTCATCCTGACGACATGTCAGAACAAGTTTTCATATCTGTTATTTGTACCATATGAGCAAATACTTAACAACTTTCGTGTCTCTTTCTCGCCTCATTTTTTTTCTAAAGCAGAATTAAGTGCACTTTTAGAGTGCACTTAATTCTGCTTGTGTTCTGATCCACCACTGTTTTCCAGAACACATGTACCTGGGCTCTGCTCCTGAGCTTTGCCATGCTGTTCCCTTCACCTTCTTCCCTGGCCAGCTGCCTTGCTCTTGGCTGGCTGGATCCCTAAAGGAGGCAGTAGGCATAATGCTTAGGTACCCCCTTCTTCTGGGCTGCCTTCTTTACCACCCGCCTTTGAGTTTGTTGATGTGCCTCTCGATTTCTTCAAGCTCGGTGGCCACATGCCACCCCTGACACCAGTGTAGCACTATGAGAGAACAAGAAAATATACAACTAAGTTGTAACACACATTTAAGCATGATAGTTTGGTTTAAGCATTGGAAGAGGGAAATATCTTCAGAGTCAAGGCCCTCCAGGAGCCGAGATTGTCACCCCTGTCTTAGAAGATTATGAGATGCTGAGCAACTGTATACTTTTGTTCATACTCATGTATTTTGTACTTTGTAATCATTATTGGAACTGGTTAAACTTTTTTCACAGTAGCTTAAAAATACGATTTGGGTCTCGAGTTGAACTGTGCCTTTTTTCTTCAGTGATAAAATGTATTTTGATGAAATGTGTATGATGTACAAAATGAGAAATGGGAAAGTGCATTTTCATCTTCGTAGGTGAGCAAGCAAGTCAACGTTTGTAAAAGTGTTTTTAATGTATCTAAATGCTGTTTTTTTTCTCAGCATTGTCATCGTTGTGGAGAGGTGTGAACTGTTTTCACATCAGTTTTTCTCACCCTCACTTACTCAATAGCCACATTTCACAACATTTCACCCACAGTGAGCCAACAGTGTCCTTGTAACTTGTTAACTGCTTGTTTCTTGTACTACTGTAGTGTATATATATATATATACACACACACACACACACACACACACACACACACACACATACACATATATATATATATATATATATACACACACACACTTAATTATTCATTCATATAATAATTATGTATTTGATATTTACAAGGATTATGATATAATTTATTCGAGCCCAAGGTATTAATAAAGACAGTAATAGGCTAAATATACACAAGTCAACATTTATAAGGTACTTTCTGCTGGGAGGTGTCTGTCCCAAACCCTAAATCCTAATTTTTTTTCTTTTTAAAATGAAATTTTAGAATGTTTAGATGTATGTAATGAACATAAGGATGGAGGCTGCACATACAGGAGTATGAGATGTGCTGTGTACTTGCTATTGTCTAAGTCCAGCTGATTTCACCAGTGTTAAGATTTAGTATCCCATCAGTTCAAATTATTTTTTTTTTCTTTTATGCAATAATAAAGCCAAAAAGTTTATCAGCTATTACTGTGACAGCAGCAGTGATGTTGCCGAATAAACATTGATTAAAATCCTGGCTCTCTAATAAATTAGTATAAATGCAGACTAAGGGAAGAGTAAAAGTAGGAGAAATGAAGAGAAAAGAGCTACAGTCATCATTTCTGAGCTGAGGTTCTACCTGTGTGATGTGCGTGCACGCGAAGGGGAGCCAGATTCTGCTGTGGAGTCATAATTCGGCATGTTCATGCATCTGTTACAAGCAGAGTTGATTACTATAATTTAAGAAAACAATACATCCCATACAACTTATACAAAACGCATCAGCACACATCCTAACAAAATCAAAACAGAGAGATCATAATACTCCAGTTTTAAAAGGACTGCACTGGCTACCTGTATCATTCAGAATAGATTTTAAGTTCTGTTACTAGTTTTTAAGGCTCTAAATGACCTTAAAGTTCCCTCTTACATCACAGAGTGTCTGTCTGTTTATGTTCCAGCACGTGATCTTAGATCTGCAAATGCTGACCTTCTGCAAACACCTTCTGTAAAATACAGAAAACATGGAGAGACTCGTTCAGTTATTACACTGCTAAACTGTGGAACTCAGTTCCACTTTTTATTAGACAGTCAAGCTCACTGCACTCACTTTTACATAATGTAGTATTTATCTTCTGTTGATCTGTGTCATTTTCATATATGGATATGTGTGTATATATATATATATATATATATATATATATATATATATATATATATATAATTAGTAGTATTATTAGTATTAGTATTATTATTGTATTTAAAATATTACAAACAACATTTAATATTTTCAAATGACACATCACCGCTAACGTTCTCCTCAAAGTTGTAGCGAAACCAAAGGTTATATATAATGTAAATCTTCATGTGTTCTGTCTGGTTCAGTTGGGTGGCTCCCTCTTGTGGTTGTTGAGCTACATGCACTTACACAGGTTTCTTTTCTTTGCTGTAACTCTGGTTCAGAGGAGATTCTTATGGAGATTTCAGGTGCAGATTTTCAGTCATGTTCATGTTCAAACAGTAATATTTTCTTTCAGTTAAACCTGTTTCTGGTATGTTGTGGCGGCTGCCACTTGCTCTCTTTCGCAGAGGGGGCTCTGGAGGTGCGGCGTGCAGAGCTGCACACCTGCCTCGTTAGGGACTTTGTTGATGTTTTGTGTGTTGATGTTGTTGTTCCTTACTTTAAGGTGTGCGTATGTGTTATTTGTGTTATTTTAAGGGGGTTTAGTTAAAGTGGGGTGTGAGTCTACTCTAGAGTGAAGAGCTGTGGCTGGTAGTGACTTTTCCTGTTATCCCCGGATGTGTTTATGTACCTTTTCTGCTGGTGGTAATAAAAAGCATTTCTCATAGTAGAAATCACAGCCTTTTCTGTGTCTCCTTCTTTGCCAAGACGCTACATTATTATAAAGTATGTACAACCAATAATTGCTGCATCTGCTTTTAAGCTGGTGTTTGGTGCCCTCTTGTGGATTATTGCAATGCGACACCCAAATCTATCCTGTTTAAAATGCAAATTCAAAGTTCTTTAGAAGATTATAAGACCAAACTACTGATCATGTATTTTGTAATGTTATCGCTCACTGACTGATAATCATGCAGGAAGATGGTGATGATTCAGTGAACTGATGCAGTGAAACACACAAACATTCTAAGCCGCTTATCCTTCTGGGTCACGGGGGGAGCTGGAGTCCACCCCAGCAGTAATCGGGGGGAAGGCAGAAAACACCCTGGACAGGCCACGAGTCCATTGCAGGGCAGACACACAGACACACACATTCACATACACACTCAAACCTAGGGGCAATTTAGTGTGTCCAGTTGGCCTGACTGCATGTCTTTGGACTGTGGGAGGGAACGGGAGCACCTGGAGGAAACCCACACGGGGAGACCCAGGCCCTTCTTGCTGTGAGGGGACAGCCCTACCTGCTGCATCACCATGCGGCCCGCAGTGAAACACCACCAATATAAAATATTAACATATTTAAAGATAAAAACATCACAACAAACGTCGCCACCAACACATTTATGATTTATTGCTGTTTCTATTAGATCATCTATTAGTCCCATTAAATGTATTAAACAATTAAAGTTCTTACACAGCTACATGTTTAACATTCCAAATGAAATTTATGCAATTAAGTAAATATGATTAAAAAAATTTAAATTTACAAAAAAAATCAGATGCATGTACAAACTACAGATTCTACACAGATTCTGCACTGACTTCATTCAGCCTCCAGGGGGCAATCAAACTTTCTGATCACACAAATGATGGCTGATCACACATCTGGCTACAAACAGTCAGAAATTATACATTAAACAGAAAATGTCACAGAAGCCTCTACAACTAAATATAATAGCAAAATATTCAATATTTAATGTGTCCACTTTTTGATGAGGTCTATATAGTTTTGCCACATTGTGGTTAATGATTTAAGTGTGAGCAGAAGATTAAAATGAAGTTATTAAAGAGTCGACTGTACATTTCTAGAAAACTGATTGAAGTGCTGTTAGAAAGGACATATTCAGTCCCCATCATGCCTATCCTGCAGAAACAAAACAGCACAGACCAGCATGCATTCTGTGCTGGTCAGGTGCTGGTTCAGCTGGTTACCCACCATGGTCATCCTGGTTGACCAGGATACCAGAATCCAAAACTCTTGAATGCTCTTGTCATAAACTTGTCTAATATGAAAACCATGAAAAAATAATAAGCACACAGGTCAAATGTAATTAAAACAGTGACAGTTATGAATTAAATACAAACATGCTGAGTTCAGCAAAATATTCCTTTACAGGTCCAAACAAACTGCTCATATTCCTGGCTTTTGCTGCCATTTATTCTAAAACACTCTCAGTTAAAAATACTTTTCTCACAAATCCAAACAAACCGCTGCTTACAGGGATAATCAGCCCAGTTATTTACAGGATCAGACTTGTCGCCAGTTACGACACAGTCCTCATATGCTGCACCATTGGGTTCCCCACTTCTCCAGAACCTGAAACAGAGAATCAGAGAACCCACTGTGTTTATCAGAGCAGTGAGGAGTAACTGTATCATCACCAGAGTTCAGGTCAATCATCTCTTACCTAGTGGTCAGTGCTGAGCCGTCCACCCATTTCCAGACCCTCTCTGTGTCTCGGTCAGTCAGACCAATCCAAGCTCTCTGTCCTCGTCTCAGTATTTCAATAAAGTTCTGTTAACAACCAGATGAACATCCTCAGAAACAGAGAGGAAAAGTAACTCACTGCACACATATTTGTGCTTGTGTGGTCTGACATAAACAATCTCAAATCTCTCTCTCTCTCTCTCTCTCTCTCCGCCTCTCTCTCTCTCCGCCTCTCTCTCTCTCTGTCTCTCTCTCTCTCTTTCTTTCTTTCTGTCTCTCTCTCTCTCCCTCTCTCTCTCTCTCTCTCTCTCTCACCTGTTCTTCTCTGCTGTTTATGGTCACCAGGTCTGCTCCTCTCCCTCTGCAGTCCTGTCTGCTCTCACTCCAGCTCTTCCCTCCAGTAGAGATGAAGTACATAATGGTCTTGAAAAATGTCCAGCCCTGCTGTGTTGCCGCCTCTATGAATTGAACACAAACACAGAGATTCATTTTACACTTTAATATCACAGTTATATTCTTCTCTCACATGTGAGATGTTTATTTGAGTCCTTGGTAATTATTCCTCACATTAAAACTGGATTACTGTACTGGTAATTTTTTTAGCATTTTAGGATACACTGATATCAGAATTGAGGGATTCTGACTGTCTGATATTTTTTATATCTGATGCTGATACATTTATAAAATCTTGATCTACCTGTCTTTGATTCATTTGGATACATATAACAGATTTTTTTAAGCAATTATCTGTTAATACCGATATGATTCTGATATCCTTATGCATCCCTAATTGCATCATAACTTATAGAAATGTAGTTGTTGCCATACTAGATGCAGGATGTTTGATCATTAATGTTTTCAGAGTATGTCAAAGCAATACACAGGATTAGCACTTCACAATGTTGGAAATAATTTATGTTGGAAATAAATGTATTTGATAAATGTAGTATTTATACTGTCTTACTGAGGGGCAGACTGCATCAAACCTTAACAAACCTTAACAAAGCTACATCACATCAGCTGGACTGAGGCAACCAATTGTAATTAATTGTATGCAGCTATAACCCTCTACTTTACATAAATCCCTGAAATTTCAGTGGAAAGTACTATTGAAAAGAAAAAAAGACCCTTTCATTTATGTAATTTCCAGTAAAGTAAAAGATGTCAGAAAAAAAGCAAGAGCCAAAACCTCAAAAATAATTATAATCTTTCAGTATTTCATATTTAGTATTGGCATTATTTAGCACTGGGCAGTAATAAGGTTTACCACAGTATTTGAAAATGATGCTGGTATTTCTAATTGCTGATGAAATATGAGAATTATTACGGTGTCAGCTGTTACTTTCTGTCGCTCCAACAGTCTCTTGACTTTGCTCTCTCAGACATGAGTTTTATGATCTAGACTTGTGTCAGCAGAGCACCAGTTAGTTGGAATTTGACCTGTACTGTGGTGTGTGACACTTTTGCCTGCTAACTAAGCTAATGTTAGCTTAGTTAACATGGTACGGATCCAGACACCACAGAATAGATTACACTTTGCCTTTCTGCCCTTCCAACAGCAGGTGCTCTGTTACACTCCCTCTGATTTGAATATAAACTGGTGTTGGTGCTTTAATTTGCCAGAACTGAATCTGTTCTATGGTGAGCAGAGCTGTTATTATGGTAGATAAGCTACAGTGGTGGACAAAGTACACAAACCATGTACTTGAGTTAAAGTTGAGACACCCAGGGCAAAATATTACTCCAGTAAAAGTAGAAGTTCCTCCCTTTAGACCTCCACTTGAGTAAAAGTACAAAAGTATTTGCCTTCAAATGTACTTATTACATTAAAAGATAGATTAGTATTAAAAGATTAATTATGACTCTAATGTCCTATTATCATTTTTGTAACAAGACTCTACATTACTGCCGCATTAACTCATTTTAGGTGAAAATACTCCAGTGTCACTCTTGGTAAACGAGTCTTTTTAACAGAATGTCATTAATTAGTCTGTCACTGATGTGTATTAAAATGATCATAAGCACAAAACACTGAAGGCAAACAATTTCTATTAGCCCTAAAGCGCTGTTGTAGAACCGTATGCTTGCAGTGGGTAGGTATGTCCAACTGGTCAAAACAACTTCAAAACAAAGTGCGCTCTGTTCCCTGATTGGTGTTCTTGCTTCACACTTCTTTTGTTTTGACTTTGAAAAATGTTGCGTTTTTATACACACATAGGCCAAAAGGAATGACAGATTTCTCATAATGTAGTGGAGTAAAAAGTAAGATATTTGACTTTGAAATGAAGTGGAGTGAAAGAAAAAGTCACCCAAAATGGAAATACTTGCAAAATGGAAACTACTTAAGTACAGTAACAAATTACATTTACTGTCCACCACCGATGAGCTAATGCTAATCAGGTCTTCTCTCCTAGTTATCAGAAGCGGTTTAACATAACAACAATGGTGGATTAGAATTGATGCACTCTCTTCACGTATTTGGTGACTGTGTAAAAATAAACTTTTTATTTTAATGCCTTTATGCATTTTAATATATAAATCACATGATTTAAATGTGGTAATAATATGTATTGCGTGCTTAAAAATTTAATCTGACTTAGTTGCTCCAAAAGGAGGTAACTGTCTTAAACCTTAGAGATGATTTGCTCACCCAGCTTAGAGAACTTCTGAAGACAGTCTCTCTGATTCTGAAGCTGACGAACCACAGAGTCGTAACTGGTCTGTAACTGGTCTCTCTTTGCACTCAGTTGGGTGTTAATGTTCTGTAACTGGTCTCTCTCTGTACTCAGTTTGGTGTAACTGCTCTGTAACTGGTCTCTCTCTGCATTCAGCTTGGTGTAACTGGTCTGTAACTGGTCTCTCTCTGCAGTCAGGTTGGTGTAACTGGTCTGTAACTGGTCTCTCTCTATAGTCAGGTTGGTGTAACTGATCTGTAACTGGTCTCTCTCTGCAGTGAACTTGACCCACAGCACTGTGATGGCGGCCAGCAGGAGAACACACAGCAGCCCCAGACACACTGCAGTCAGTATGAAGCATCTTCTGTCTGCAGTGCTCATTTCTGAAAATGGATACATACATATTTCAGTGAATTAATGAACTGTTCAGATGTATATAAGATGATAAAGCAGGTGAACTAGTAAAACAGAGCTTGTTGTTTTGTGAAAGTGAAAAGTCTTATGCTGTTGTTGTGCTGTTGAGTGGCATCTCTACATTAGGGGCTGGTGGGGCCTGGCCCCAACAGATGTTGCTGTTGAACAGTGCATGACAGGATCAATAATTCAGTATAACAACTAATATATATTTCTTTGTAACTAACATTGTTATGCATTCATAACGTATGACAATGGTAGGGCTGTCCAATACATTCCGGGTATCATCCTGTACCTGTTGTGTAAATGCCAGTAGGCTACCTATTTCTCCTAGCAGTCTTGGTTTGGTGAGCATAGGGCCCATCAGCGTTCATCTAACCAAGTGAGCAGTTAAAAAACACTTTGCGCACGTTCAACACACTTTCAATAACCAGCCGTGGGGCCCGATCACTCTGGCCCCATGCTGAGAGCAGCCAACAAAACATAATATATTTACATACGTCCAGACGTTTAGTAAGCTTATCAGCATCCATACATCCGATCAAACTAACATTTTGTAGGTAGCATCTATTAGACAGACTATAACTGAATCTTTAAGGACACCGTGATATGTTGAAATTTATTTGCTGTCAGCCAATCAGCTTTCAACAGGCATTTGACAGGGTTATCATTGACCAATCATCATGAAACTTGAATATTCTCTTTATATAGGGACTTTCTAATTACCAGTGAAGTTTCAAAAGATTCTCTGGGGGGTGCTATTCATAAAAATCAAGGAATTATTACAAATTACATATATATATATATATATATATATATATATATATATATATATATATATAAAATGTAGTGCAGAGGCCAAACAAATTTGCATAGTTTGTTTTTTTTTTTTGCAATCATTAACTGTTTAAAAAACACATTTTTCAAACTAATGGGTTTTGATCCTAACCTTACAAAATTGGTCTAGAAATACTTTTTGGCCTCTCTAAGTGAAAAATGATTAAAAAATACTGACGTTTTTACTTATCATGGTCTTGATCAATAAATCATTGCGGCCATGGCACTGCTAGCTTAAATTGCTATGACTCATCAGCAATTGGTGAGATCAGCTCAAAACTAAACAGAGTTTTGTGTTTTGAGACTGTGATGAGGTCTGCAAAATTTGGTCCAAAATGGCCTTTAATGGCGCTTTAGCTCTCAAATACATGTAAAATCATTAAAATGCTATTGCAATATTATAATATATTACAAAGTCTATAGATAAATAATTTGTGCCATGTGATTGAGTTCACTGACCTGAATAACCTTTTAATTGCATGTTATGTCATAAATAATTTTTCTTTATCTGATATTTTGAATTATTCATTCAAAAACTGCAGTTATTGTACAAAGATCAAAAGGTACAATTCGAACTCTTTTGGTAAAGTTTGTAAATGCATTTGTTTGATACAAATGTCCGAGCCTCGTCTCAACCAACACAGAGTGGGGGGCTATCTGTGCTCTGCTGGTCACACTTGCTGTAGCACTTCACCACAACATATGTATTTAAAGCATGGTGTGACTGGCCTAGTGCTGCCCCCTGTGTCTTTTTGTATAGTTGAAGTGAACTGGCCACTATCTGATGTTTATGATTACAATTAAGGGCTAATTGTCTTTCTTACTATCTGTTTTTATGTCCACCTTTTTAGCCACTGGAATGAAATGAATTAAGGTAATGTAAAGCACATCCAAAACTGAATAATGTCATCAAAAAAGCTGTAATAAATATGATTTTATTATCAAAAGAAAAGTAAAAGTAGATAGTAGCACGAACAGCAGATGATGTTATTGCTGCTGTTATACTAGATCAGAAGTCAGACCACAAGCACAGATCTGACTCCTCTCTGCTCTCAGGCCTCAGGATACAGACACTGAACACTCTGGGTCTGAGTTTGGCTGATAAAATGTCTTGTCAGAAATCAGCGTATTGTGAGGTGATTGTCCTTACAATGCCTCACTCTCAAACACAGACATAAAAAAAAAACTATGAGAGCATCTCACTGGTCACATATCTATAATCTATTAGTAGAACTGTTGTGCACTTCATCAGCCAACCTCACACCCAGAATGCAATGTCCGAATGCTGAGAACACATTCTTATTAGTGAAATGAAAACGAAGTATATTTCTGTTTGTATTTTACATTTTAAAGTTCATCTGAGCAATTAGGAACACTTAAATGATCAACCATGAGCTCCTGTTTCACTGCAGTGATCCAAAGCACACCTCAGAATCAACACAAAAATGAATCACTGCAGGTTTTGCCATGGCCACTCCAGTCCCCTGATCTAAACCTCATAAAGACCTAAACCCCATAAAAACTGTGCATGAACTTCAGACTCTGAAGGATCTGGAGAGGTTCTGTACAGAGGGATGGTCTCAGATCCTTTGTCCTGTGTTCTCCAGTCTCATTAAGCATTATAGGAAAAAACTCAGAGCTGTTATCTTTGCGAAGTGAAGCTGCACAAAGTACTAAATGAAGGGATGCCAACAAGTGTGACACATATTTATTCGAGAAAATTTTATTTATTTTCTTGTTGTCTATTTTGCTGATGTTTTTTGGGTGCCAGACATTGTGGAGGGCACTGTATTTGCTTCTCATTGCTGGTGTAATTGATGAATAGAACACATGTTTTTATGAGCAGACAGACAAACTCAGCTGCATGTGGCTGTTTCAGAACTTCTTGCAAAGAAAAAAAAAACATTTGTTGATAATAAATGGGTCAGTAAAAACCCCATTAAAGACTTAAACTTACCTCTGTACTGAGGATCTGCTGCATGTGAGTGAGAGGTTTTGTCATCTTCCTCAGCATTTCTAGTACATACGGTTCTGGAGTTTCCTTTGTTGTTGGTGTTATGCGTCTCTGTGTTGTCCTCATTGGCATAAATGTCTTCATATGAATGTCCACTGCTGTCTGAATCTCTTCTGTAGTCTGCAGTAAATCCTGAATTTGCATAAATATTATCCCTCATTTCCATTCTGCTCTGACTGACTGGAGCAGAACGTGTAAGTCGACTAATAAGTCTGAACTGATGACTTTGCGTGTGTTGTTCGTCAGCTTATCTACTGGTGGGAAGTCACTGCAGAGTATCTGTGCTCAACTGTTACTGTAAATGGTCTAGACTAAGGAGATTGTGTTAGATAGTGAGGTTGGCCACATATATGAGACTGTGGTGGTCTTTGAGACGTGTGAGTCACATGGTACATGTGGTATATTTTTCTTTAGTTTGTCAAACTTAATCCGACCACTTGGTAATGTCCTCACTTATGAGGATATTTACTGCAGACTTTCAGAGTTGAGTTTGCAGCCCTGTTAATATTGGATTCAGGTAGTTTGGCCTTCATTGTAAATAATACAGCAATATGTGGATAACTGATTTGTGCTGGATCAGCTTTTAAGCTGTTCACTGGTGCCCTATAATGGATCATTATGTTTCATAATGCGTCGCTAGCTCAGATAGGGCTAAAATATGTATCCAGGCTTACTGATAAAGCTGTTGATTGGACCGTGGCTGCATGGTCTAAAAAATTACCTGCAAACAATTTATTGCTTAATTTGGATTGTTTTTGATCATCCCGTCAAAGGAAGGGCATGTGGGGAGTTATTAGCCAAAATCTGTCAAGATAACCGTTCAGGGGCTGCTTACACAGTTTCGGACCATTAGAGTTGGCAGTGGTTGGAATGAGCCAGCTCTCCTTATTGCATTTAGAAACGGACTGAACTCAGACATAGCCACTGAATAACTTGTAGAGATGACGAACTGTCTTTTGATCAGCTTATATCACTTTTAATCCGTCTGGATCAGCTTTTGAAGAAGTGAACTCCACTTAAGGAGTCTTTTCTGAACTTCAGCGCTCCTGGCCTTCGAAGGAACCAATCCAGCTCAGGTTCTCCAGCCAGAACACAGGAACATGATTCTTCCATTGAACCGATGCAGTGTGACTTCTCCAGACTGTCTCCTGAGGAAAGACTTCGAAGACATAATTGGGGTTTGTATTGTGGCACAGCTGGCCTCTTGGCAACTTTATGCCGAGGTGGTTTGTGAGATGCAGATTCCTATGGAGCCTTTGGACAAGGACAAGAGCTACATAGTAGAGGCCTTAGAATAGGGATATATTCGGCCTTCCACTTCTCCTGCTGCATCAGGATTTCATCCATGTATTGACTGACGAGGTTTTAATGAGATAACCAAAAAATTCCCGTACCCGCTACGTTTCATTCCTATAGCCTTAGAACAATTGGGTGGTGTTAAGTTTTTCACCAGGCTTGATCTCAGAAGCAACCTGATCAGAATTAGAAAAAAAGGGATGAATGGAAGACGCATTTGTGACCACTAAGGCACTATGAATATATGGTGATGCCGTTCGGTTTGTCCACCTTCAGTGTTCCAGTTGTTCATTAACGACGTGCTCAGAGACATGATAGGCAAGTTCGTTATCACATACATAGGTGACATTTTAATTTATTCACCAGATTATGACACTCATGCTAAACAAGTTCGCCAGGTTCTCCAACATCTTCACCAAAATCAACTTTACATAAAAGGTGAGAAATTTAATCTACAAAGGGTCGCATTGTAAGGATATGTTATTAGTGAGTCAAAGATCGTCATGGATGAACACAAATTTGCAGTAAACTGGCCAACACCCACTTCCATTAAAGACCTCCAAATATTTTGGGATTTGAAAATTGTTACAGTAGATTTATTTG